GTTAGATCTCTGTTAACTGTCTCAAGTGTAGTGCTACCAGTATGACGGCATTCTGTCTGTTGTTAAAAAAAAACAAAAAACACTAGCCAACCCTCTATCAGGAAGCAGCCTTCTCTGCTTGTCAAGTGAGCAGCCCAAAAACATTCCCAAACAATCTGACAGTGCAATGACACAATGCTCAATCCTCACTAGAAGTTGAATGCTAGTAGAAAAGGCTTTTGATTTTTACTACACACATTACAAAATAACCCTCAGTTAACATTACCATTGCATAATCACTCCTTTGGACGGGTTTGTAAAAGAATATGATTAGCATGGTGTCACATTGTTACTACCAGCTTTAGTAACTACTGTTGATATTAGCTGGAGGTCATAGGTAGCAGACCAGTATGATCTTCAAATCCAGTGACAAGATTAATATTTAGGATATCTGAAAACTAAAATACTTCAGTCAGTGCTTAAACTTATAATGATAGCAACCTGCTGATAGCTATCATTATAATTATACAGAGAACAACCATAACTGTGAAACCCCCTGCCAGTTTTGGGAAATGAATTATTCTCATATCCTCTTTTCCTGTTCCGCCGATTTAAATGCTTGTTCTGTTAACAATAACGTCCTTTTGTATTTTCAATGTGGCTGAAGATAAAGTAGCATGTGCGTTTTGTCATATCTCAAAATTTCCAGCAGAATGTGAGTGTGTTTGGTGTTAATAAATACCAATATTATGTGGCACTTTCCTCTTGCAATTTTAGGGTAACATGATTAGTTTTTAGCTTTTTTCCACCTCCAGCGGCAGGTGTGACTCAGGTGGAATATGGCTTATTACATAGCCCATGAAAATGAAACATGACATCTGCACTGGTGTGTTCACTGTCGCTTTACTAGATCCCTTATCGTAAAATATCCACCATGTCCGCATCTTGTAACGTAATCTCTCTCTGTGTTTCTCTGCAAAATGCTAAACGGTCCAAATATGTTAATAAGTTAAGTCTATGTGTGGGAGACACTGGTTCTACCCACCTTTTGCTGCCATTTTTTACCTAATCCGGCTACGTGCAGAGGACATTTTACTGCACTGTTGTGCCTCATGGCTCCACTCTGGGTGCTTTACTTTTTCCTCTGTACACTAGATTCTTTCTGTATTATCACTTTCTATGACTTTTCTGCTATGTCAATGACACTGAACTTAAAGTCTTTCTCAGCTTTTTTACCTGGGTTCAGGCATGCCTAACTGTCTCCCTAACATCTCAGTTGTATGTGTGCCCATTGTGTTAAACTTGGTCTCAACAAGAATCTGTTTTCCTGGAACATTTGTAAAATAGTTCATACTTAAAGCCATGTCATCACAACGTTTACATCAGAGCATCATCTAAATTCCACAACGTCAGTCTAAAACTAAAAGCCAAGAAATATGTTATTGTGTAGCAGTGTTGGTTTGGGGAATTAAATAGTTGCAACATTTTGGGCAATTCCAACTTTGACATTTGCTATCATTGATTATTTCTTTATTCTCTATGTACAGCCCATTTTTATATAGTCTGCTCATGAAAGTATTAATATTATTATTATTATTGGCTATGTTATTAGCAGTATAATAACTACTAATAACTGTGGAATTGCTAACAGATGACTTGAATGCTTCTATCCACAGTACAGTGATCCTCAGTGAACTGTTTATCTAGTATTTGAAGATAAAAACATGTACAACCACAGAGAGAGCCCTGGATCTGCATACGGAAAATATCTCAGCTGAGCATCTCTGTGTCAAATCTGATTATTAGGCTGAAAGTAGGGCTTTGCAGTAGAGACATCCTCTTCCATATGACCCTCAGACATAAACATGGACATTCAGGAATGCTCTCACACTCACTCACTTACTCCAAACCACTTACGTTTGCAGAAATGATCCCAGACCTTGATGGTATGGTTGGTGAGGTTAGGAGGGCTGGTGAAATGAGGCTCCATTTCTTGGCTCGTTGCCTCAGCATTACTACCAGCCCCGCCCTTCACTCTTGAGTCATACATAGCATAATGTACACACAAGCATGCAGAGACTCATGCACTATGCAGCTTTCTCTGCAAGTGTGACTCAGTCATAAACTAATTTTAGTCATACACCAGCACATTGCTGTAGACTTCATCTGATATTTCTCTAACTCTCAAGTACACACACACACCTTCACAAACCTAATATCTCAGTCTATATTCAAGAATGACCTCACCTCCTGAGAGTCTTGTCTCAGGTTTCATACAGAGCAGACCGACCGAACGGTCCAACACACACACATACCCAGACACTGAGTTTTTGTGTCTTTCATTTCTCACATTTATTGTGCACTCAAATAGAGACCGCGTGCATTTGAGAAAACACTGAGGAGATAAAATGGGCATATACAAGGCAGTATAAAAGAGTGCAAGCAAGGGCACGTGAATGTATGCCAGTGGGGGCGGGAGGTGTACTAGGCCGCAGGACCAAATTTGGAAAGTGAATCCATCACATCGGAGCAAAAGCCATTCCTTCACAAAGAGTCAACTGTTGTTTTTCAAAGATGATTTCACACAGGGGACCATGATGTCCTTTTAAGACATGCTGGAAGATAGCAACAACTGTTTACGTTCCAATTTCTTGGCCTGGAACATGATGAGTGTCCTTTCCATTTGAATAACTTGTATGAATAATTAGGTATGATAAACTTTATGCTGGACAAACGCAGGACATGAAAATCTATTTTCTGTCCCACATGGATTTACAAGTTGATTGTTTTGAGATTCAAACCACAGCTTTCTCCAACCATGTTTGAAAAGTCTAACTGGGCCCCAAAGTGTATTTAAAAGCAGATTAAATGCTGACATCTTTTCAGAAAACATCCCAGAGTGTTTCCTTATGGCCTGGTTTATGGCTGGCCGCACCATATATCCTGAGTGACTGGGTGTTATTGGGTGGAATCCCACAGATGGTCAAACTATCAACACACTATTTGTAGATATTCAACAGCTGTCTTGCTTTGGCTCAGGCTATGGTTTGCCCTAACAAACTACAGCCAACGGTGTTTATTCTGTTATGATAAGAAGGAGTATGTGTGTATCCTACGTGTTTGTAACAGATTTTACTTAATTTGGCTAGTTAAGAGGTGGATTGTTGTACTTAGGGGAAACTTAAGGAAATGATTTTTCGCCCTTGTTGTTTCTCTCTGTGAAGACATCAGAATCAGCTTTACTGGCCAAGTGTGTGTACACATACAAGGAATTTGCCTTTGGTTTTTGATTACTCTGTGTACTTACATGGAGTTCCAAAAACAATTTACAGAAAGATAGATGCACATAGCATGGAATTGGAAATGGATAGATAATTTGATGGTACAATTTAAAGGTGCAATGTGTAAGACGGACAGAAGTTTTGTTTAAAATCTTACAAAAATTAGTTACCATATCAACAGAATGTGGAAAAAGTAACAATTCCATATATTGTGTTGCAGAGATATAGTATCTACTGAAGTTGGCATGCTAACCAGATAGCCTCAGCCTGTTCTTTTTTCGTAATACCGCTTTGTACCTCAAGAGGCGATAGTCTGAAAGTATAGCTCAGGCCCCCCTTTTCCAACAATCACCAGCTCTGGTTTGGTCCTTAAATTCACAGAGTTAGATGTGAAAATATTCTGGCTCTACACACTGTCGCTGCCTCTCTGATGCCCAACCTCCCTCTCACTCCTCTGCTTCGTAGACTCCAGAGTCAGAGTCATGGTCGGAGCCGCTGTAAATGACCTCAGTACTGTCATCAAACTGGCCTCCGTCAGTCTCAGCTGGTCTGGCCGTGATCAGTGGAGCGCCACTGAACTAGATCGACGGCTCCGGTTCTGGTGCTCTTTCTGGACTCAGTTAGCTAATAGGACAGCTAATTGCAGTTTGCAGCAGTTATGAACTGATATATGATATGCTGCCACTTATTTTTTTGGAGTGTGCATTCGACAGGTGAAGAAGAGTCTCAATTCTTACACATTTTACCTTTTAAGGAGTCATTGGAGCCATAAGTGATTCAGGTATTAGTGCTTATTAGTAACCTGCTCTACTGTCACTCTCACTCTTTTCCAGCTTTGAAAAATTTAAATAAAAAAACTGATTTGGTTGAATATTTGGCAATTTAGAGATGCAACTAAGGATTGTTTTCCTTAGCAAGCAGTCAGCATTTCCCAGAGTTTTAGGTGACATCTTAACATTGATTGTTTTGTTAAAGCAACAGTCCAAACTCAAAAGATAATCACTTAATAAGATATAAACGAAGAAAAGCAACAAATCTCCACATTTGATAATCTGGGTCCAGAGTATGTTTGGCATATTATTATATTAGATATTTTTATATTAATAGATCGAATTACTTGTGTAATTTGAAGGGAGTCACTCAAAGTATTGGACCCACAGAGGGTTATCACTCATCTTTACAGTTTTAGTATCTTCAGCACATTGTTTTGGTTTACAGACCGCACTGCAAAGAAGCTGAAAAAGATGAATAGATAAGCTGCTAAGCTTGAGCGATGTAAAGGTAAAGCCACTCTGTGCTACATGCCCAGCACCAAGCAGCAGACAGACCAAGTTAGCAGCATGCTGGTAAATGGTGTGGAGCATTTAACAGTAACTCTGGCGAGGATCGGGTTTGCAAGGCGATTAATATGTTAATGTTGAATTTTTAACTTTTCTGCTCCCTCCAAGTGGCAAACAACAAAATAATCAGAAGTTATTTATTGCTGCTTTTATTTGGAAGCTGCAACATCAAATGTAATATATATGCCAACATGGAGGGTCTTTACTTTCACTACATGCCAAAAACAAATACACAAATACCCCTGAAATTCTGTTTAATGGAAGGTAAAAAGCCTCAAAAATAGCACTTAAACCGTCGACACTGTAATCGTATAACTACATTAGCCAACCTGAGTGCCACCTAGTATTGGCCTAGTAACGGATGCACACCGCTAATAACCTCTTCTGTCTTCCTCCACAGTGAAGTACATCCGCGAGGTTTCCCCGCTCTTCAAGAAGCCGTCCCTGGTGGCCGACCTGCCGTGGGATGGCGTCCGCCCACAGTCGCCCAGCTACAGCGGCAGCGAGGACTCCGGGTCCCCCAACACAGCAGCTCTCCCTCCTTAAAAGACAGAAAGGTCATAAGCCTGAAGATGTGCTTCATCAGCAGGAACCTCACTATGCCAGATCTGGAGAACAGGTATGAGACTCATCTATGTTTGTGTGTATGTTGGAGAGAAATAGCTGAGTATGTGGGAGTTTAGGTGTGGTTGGGTGTGTGTGTGTTTTACCGCTGGGTGTGTGCGTGTGGTTTTCTCCTGTATTCAGCGTATGTTCATTAGGTTGGAATGTTTTCTCTGTAAGAGATAATGATCATGACAAAATGTTCTTTGTGGATAATAAATAGATCCAAAAGAGAGAACGATCAAGGATTATGAAAAATAGCCAGTGAGATACATGAGTGACAAAATAACACACACTGTGAAAAAAAGAAGATTAACTTTAAATCAAGTCACCACTTCAAACATTGCTGCAACAGGTGGTTCATACTAAATTGCCTAGTAATTGCCCAGTAGCAGTAGCAGTAGCAGTAGCCATTATACTGTGCATCTGTCTGTGCTTCCTTTCCTGGTTAGTTTTAACTTGTTCCTCTTTGTCACTGTAGTTTGTTTATAATTTCCATATGCTGTCACCATTTTACAAACTGTTTGTTAGTATGTTAATAATTTAGCAGAGTTTAGATTGGCACATCTGCAGCTTGAACACAGACTATTGAACTCCTTGGGTTGTCTTTAAAAACCTATGTGAAGTACTGACTGTCAGTACTAGTTCATGACAAATGGCATTTGAAGCAGTTCACACAAAACACTGCAGCCCACAGCGTCTTCTCAGAATCGAAACAGTCTAATAAGAACACAGTGACGTCTGACACATCTCACATACTCCTGGAATCAACTTGCTAGAAGCTAATGCAGCAAGAGCAAGACTTTTCATGGCATAGATTCATCAAAATGTAAACAAATAATAATTATAACATGAAAAAAATATGGCATAGGCTAACTGTGCTTACTGTCTCTATGGAAACATCATACCTAAAGCACGGTATACGTATAAAACAAAAGCAGTGACACTATTCAAGAAAATTAAGTTTTCTGAGGAACTTCTGAAAATAAGATTTGGCATGTTCTGTCCTGTTTTTAGGCCCCTAAATAATCCTTAAACTTGTCATGTTATCATGTAAATTTGAATATGCCGTAATTTTCTTTCATTGGTCAAGGACATAGATAATGTTTCAAAACAATGAAGGCGAAAATATGGCATATTCAAATCAGTCTTAAAAAGTCTCATAGCCTGTTTATATGTCAAATTCTGTATTTAATAGTCCCCTTTAGTTCTTTTATGTCCTTTGTCTCATTCAGGCTGTTGGAGCTCCATTCCCCAGATGGCCAGCACACTGTGGTGCTGCGCTGCAAAGATGGCCCTTCTGCCAACTCCTGGTTCACTGCCATCCACACCAACATTGCTGCCCTGCTGCCACAGACCCTGGCTCACATCAGTGCTTACCTGGGGGCCTCATCCTCTGCCTCCACACACCCCCATCTCAAACACATTGGCTGGTTGGCTGAACAGGTATTTTTGGCTTTGTTTAGTTTTACCAGCTGCGTTCTATCTTATACAGGTGATAAACCTTTTCAGTTTCTTAGGGCTTATTGTTAATCGTTTACTGTAAGATTCTTTACAGCACAACAGAACGGGAGTTCTGTCAAGAAAAGTCAAGAATAACACCAATTGAGAATCTTAAAACATATTAATAATAATAGGCCTACAGAAAATAACTACATAGTTATTCAAAGGAAAGGTGATGTAACAAAGGGAAACATGCCTCTGTCCCTCTGTTGAGCGTTACAGGCATGTAATTCTACCTTTGTTTATATTTTAAAAAATACAGTTACGCTGGTCAATAAAACTACTGAAAATCTATTATTTGTGCTTCTGTCAGTTAAATAAACGTTCACGTAAATTTACAAATCCTAGATATTTGTTTTGTTTGCAATTTGGAAAATATCCCAACATTTCTGAAAATGGGGTTTGTAGAAGATTCCAGTGTATCTATATTTTGTTTTAGTGTTTCATATTTATATTTATAAAGATATTTTTTGTTGATATCCTTGAATTGTGGAACTAAAGTGTTCAGTGTTCACAATTCAGTTTTAAGAAAGTGGAACATTTGGCCAAGATAATCGCATTGTAAAGTTTTTTTCATCAGCACTTGGTGGTAGTATGAGAACTCAGTGCATTTTCAGGTTAGATAAATATAATAAATAATGCTTTTGAAACGAAATGGTATCTGTGATTTTTTTCAGCTCAGTGTGCTATAGTACCTATTTCATTACTCTTATGTCACTGCTCATACCCAGACCTCAAACATATACACTGCCATGTCTGCTCTAATTGCAGCAGCACACAGGAAGTGCTTTCTTGAAATAGCTTTCGTCCTAAATTTAAACACGTGCTTTGAAAGGTGAACCATGGCTAGTCTCAGTTCACACCCAGGAACAAGACTGAATCCCATCTTTCCACTTTGATGAAGTGTTAATTTAAGGTCATGTCGAATGTATGAATGTCTGTTTATCTTGACCGGCTCAAACAGGAAACACCAATGGAGGTTTCTGCTGTGTTGCACTATTTCCTGTAGTGGCCACCTACTCACCGCAGTTGCTCTCGCAAACACTCCAGTCACTCAACTGAGACTCAGACAAACACACACCGCTCTATTTTTACCACGACGCTGTCACAAATTCAGGTCAGACTGTCAGAGTGAGCTACTTAACTCCTCTGCAGCTGTACTCTGTCAAACTACATCACTATACCTGTACTCTGTCAAACTACATACCTGTACTCTGTCAAACTACATCACTATACCTGTACTCTGTCAAACTACATCACTATACCTGTACTCTGTCAAACTACATCACTATACCTGTACTCTGTCAAACTACATCACTATACCTGTACTCTGTCAAACTACATACCTGTACTCTGTCAAACTACATCACTATACCTGTACTCTGTCAAACTACATCACTATACCTGTACTCTGTCAAACTACATCACTATACCTGTACTCTGTCAAACTACATCACTATACCTGTACTCTGTCAAACTACATCACTATACCTGTACTCTGTCAAACTACATACCTGTACTCTGTCAAACTACATCACTATACCTGTACTCTGTCAAACTACATCACTATACCTGTACTCTGTTAAACTACATCACTATACCTGTACTCTGTCAAACTACATCACTATACCTGTACTCTGTTAAACTACATCACTATACCTGTACTCTGTCAAACTACATCACTATACCTGTACTCTGTTAAACTACATCACTATACCTGTACTCTGTTAAACTACATCACTATACCTGTACTCTGTTAAACTACATCACTATACCTGTACTCTGTCAAACTACATCACTATACCTGTACTCTGTTAAACTACATCACTATACCTGTACTCTGTCAAACTACATCACTATACCTGTACTCTGTTAAACTACATCACTATACCTGTACTCTGTTAAACTACATCACTATACCTGTACTCTGTCAAACTACATCACTATACCTGTACTCTGTTAAACTACATCACTATACCTGTACTCTGTCAAACTACATCACTATACCTGTACTCTGTTAAACTACATCACTATACCTGTACTCTGTCAAACTACATCACTATACCTGTACTCTGTTAAACTACATCACTATACCTGTACTCTGTCAAACTACATCACTATACCTGTACTCTGTCAAACTACATCACTATACCTGTACTCTGTCAAACTACATCACTATACCTGTACTTTGTCAAACTACATCACTATACCTGTACTCTGTCAAACTACATCACTATACCTGTACTCTGTCAAACTACATCACTATACCTGTACTCTGTTAAACTACATCACTATACCTGTACTCTGTCAAACTACATCACTATACCTGTACTCTGTCAAACTACATCACTATACCTGTACTCTGTCAAACTACATCACTATACATCACTATACCTGTACTCTGTCAAACTACATCACTATACCTGTACTCTGTCAAACTACATACCTGTACTCTGTCAAACTACATCACTATACCTGTACTCTGTCAAACTACATCACTATACCTGTACTCTGTTAAACTACATCACTATACCTGTACTCTGTCAAACTACATCACTATACCTGTACTCTGTCAAACTACATCACTATACCTGTACTCTGTTAAACTAGAGAAAGAAAAAGGCGCTTTAATGCAAGGTGACTAGTGGTCGGTTGATTTGCTAGAATAACTGTAAATGAAGTTACTATAATAAACAATTGTCCTCACATCTCCTCCTGACTTTCTTCTTAAGGTCCAGCTGGAGGGTGGACGGCAGCAGTACAAGCCAGTGGTCATGGCACTGACAGAGAAGGACATCCTGCTGTTTGAATCAGTGCCGTGGAGCAGAGAGTCCTGGGCCATGCCTCTGCTCACACACCCACTGCTAGCCACAAGGTAAGTTAACAGACCGCAGGGGGATTCAGCCGCACGCTGCCAGAATGTTTCAATCTTGCCTGAATGGTTCGCTTCAAGAAATGGCCACATTATGAAAACAGATCAAAAGTTACTCCTTTACAGACTTTGCTTTTTGCTCACAAGAGTTCCCTGTCATCACAATATGTGAAATGTGTTTATCATTTCTTGCATCATGGTACAGATGTTTTATATTTAGTTAATATACATTTCAATCACTTCCATGGCCACAGGTGTATAAAATCAAACACCTAGGCATGCAGACTGCTTCTACTAACATTTGTGAACGATTTGGTCACTTAATGGAGCTCAGTGAATTCAAGCGTGGTACAGTGATAGGTTGCCAAGTCCATTCATGAAATTTCCTCACTACCAAAATATTCCACGGTCAACTGTTTGTGGTATTATAACAAAGTGGAAGTGATTGGGAACAACAGAAGCTCAAGAACAGTGCGTCGAGAGCTTCATGGAATGGGTTTCCATGGCCGAGCAGCTGCATCCAAGCCTTACGTCACCAAGTGCAATGCAAAGCGTCGGATGCAGCGGTGTAAAGCACGCCGCCACTGGACACTAGAACAGTGGAGACGTGTTCTCTGGAGTGACGAATCACGCTTCTGTCTGGTAGTCTGATGGACGAGTCTGGGTTTGGCGCTTCCAGGAGAACGGTACTTGCCTGACTGCATTGTGCCAAGTGTTAGTTTGATGGAGGGGGGATTATGGTGTGGGGTTATTTTTCAGGGGTCGGGCTTGGCCCCTTAGTTCCAGTGAAAGGAACTGTTAATGCTTCAGCATACCAAGACATTTTGGACAATTTCATGCTCCCAACTTTGGGGAAACAGTTTGGGGATGTCCCCTTCCTGTTCCAACATGACTGCGCATCAGTGCACAAAGGAAGGTCCATAAAGACATGGATGAGCGAGTTTGGTGTGGAGGACTTGACTGCAACCCGATAGAACACCTTTGGTATGAATTAGAGCTGAGACTGCGAGCCAGGCCTTCTCATCCAACATCTGTGCCTGACCTCACAAATGAGCTTCTAGAAGAATTGTCAAAAATTCCCATGAACACACTCCTAAACTTTGTGGACAGCCTTCCAGGAAGAGTCGAAGCTGTTATAGCTGCAAAAGTTGGGCCAACTCCATATTAAACCCTACGGATTAAGAATGGGGTGTCATTAACCTTCATGTGCATGTAAAGGCAGGTGACCCAAAACATTTTGGCAACATAGTGTATGTTCAACAATCTGTAATTTATGGTAAGTCCCTAGAAGCTTACTGTTACTCCCACTGAATGAGTGAAACCTGTTCAGAGAGAAGTTTCACAACACAAATGCCAATAACTACTTCATCCTATTCAGGAAATTACATAGTCAGTGTTGTAGGTCTTACACTTTGGAGACCAGGATCTCTTGCCAACTTGAATTAACAGTTTATTTAAATGTTTTTATTCTTTATTTAAACAGATGATCTCATTGAGATCAGGATGTATTTTTTGTGCCCTGTGCACATATACAGTTTAAGCACAGACAGACCCACAGATAATTCACAGATATACATTATACATTTCCATACACATTCACAGATTAATTAAGAAAAAGTATTTACAGGTAGTTTATTGCAAATACATAGTACAACCTTACAAGTAAATTAAGCACAACCAGTGTGAACAAGAGGTACAACTAATCTTAAAACATCCTTTGACTTGATTTTGTAAGTACTGTATTTAAATGTAACCAGAGAGCAGGGGTACCTGGGTAGTTTTTGCAGTAGAGCCTTATAAAATAAACAACATACAATGCCACTCCCTTCTGTTTGTTAAGGAGGACCATCCCACCTTTTCTTATAGGATGCAATGGTGAGTTTCACCTGTGATGAAGCGTAGTGTACTGTGATACACGGAGTCAAGAGGCTTTAAGGTGGAGGGACAAGCATGCATATATACCGCTCAGTATCGCTGTAATCAAGCGCAGCCAGAATTGTAGATTGTACAATGGTCTTCTGACTAGCAGAAAGTTCCTCAAATCGTAATATCTGTCAAAATAATTGCAATGTGATTTTTACCTTATCGTGCAGCCCCAGGGAGCTTAAGAGGAGCAACGCAATTTCAACTGGGAGTCTTCAGTGCAGATTATCAATGTGAGTTGCCTTTTAAAATGTTAAATGGATCTGTATTTATTTATCTCTCCCTCCAGACTGGTTCATTCTGGCAACGCCCGGGGTTCTCCAGCTCAGGGTTCGGACCTGGTGTTCGCCACACGGACGGGCACAGGGCGGGGCATCGAGTCCCACGTCTTCCGAGTGGAGACCCATTGGGATCTGTCTTCGTGGACGCGAGCCCTTGTGCAGGGGGCACACGCTGCCGCCGAGCTCATCAAAGAAGTCTCCATTGGTGAGTGTGGGTGTGCAATATGTCATTTGTCTGGAGTAAGAGTTTGAAGTCGGCACCAAAATTCCCTGTGGAGACTGGTCTTCTTAAAATGCATCTAGACAAACATGTATGTTCAGAAATGTTTGCATGGCTGTTCTTTTATACCTTTATGTACAACGTTTTCTAACAGGTGTTGAAACCTGCCTCCTACTGTACAAGTACCTCACAATTGTATCAGAGTATTTTGATTTTATACTAGTTTATGCTTCTACTCCACTACATTTTAGAAAAATACATAGTACGTTTTACTCCACTGCATTTATCTGACAGCAATAGTTACAATAGTAAAACAGACTTTGTAGTCTCTAAGACAAAGGATTATTACAGTTTGATAAAACTGAATCTGTTTTTTAAGACAGACATAAACACTTGCTATGGATTGGCATTTGTTGAAGAGGGATCTCCAATCACACAAATCCCCCCTGTTTAAATGTTGTGAACTTATTAAGGGGATGTGTAATCATTGATCAAGGCTCCCAGTGTGGTATGAGCTGAGTGTGGCTATGAGATTTTAAAGTCAGTGAATCAGTAAATTAAAACGATGCTAATTTCTTCCCGTGGAGTCTACGATTTTTGTTTAATAAATCTGTGAGTGAGCATAATGACGACAGCTGATTCTGAGAACAGTGACGGCCGAGCGTTGCTCTTTGTGATGAACCCACAGAGCATTATCACCATCTCTGCAGTTCGCCTTAGCTCTACTGAGGTTTTTAGCATCTTTCAGTTCACAGTTTTGGTTTTCTGGCTCACAACATTGCCATTTTGGTTCAGTCTCACCACTCTTATAAGCATCATTTCCTGCAGCAGCGGGCAGCTGTTTTCAGTGAAAAAGCTCCCACTGTTCAATACCTGCCCAGCACCAAACAGCAGACAGACAAATAGTGGAGTGTGTAGCAGCTGAAGAGCCAGATATTTCCCTCAGGAGTTGGTGGAGGTCATAACAGAGCTAAAAGGAGAGTCAATATTGGAAACAAATGAATGCTGATCTTGCTTTGTACCTGCTGAATGTGTAAATAGGGAACTGTCTGCTGGTTCGGGCTGTCAACTTAGAAAGTGATGTCGTGTTTACAGCCTTTTCCCCCTGCCTCCAAGTTGCAAAAAAATCCATAATTGCAAGTTTAAGTAAAGAATCTTAATACTTCCTGCACCACTAATGACATCTAACCTGTAATTTTAACAGGATCAGACGTGAGCCAAAATGCTATGGGGAATTCATGCACTGATGTTTAAAAAGATATCTATTGTTGAGTTAAATCTGATAATCCTTCTTGATATAGATTTAAGATAATCTCAGGTGTTGTTGATGTTTATTTTTGTCCACAGGAAACACTATATAAAGTACAACACCGCAGACTAACAACCTCCACCGTGTATGGATGTATGTGCTTGTTTTATACACTGTGTATGCGGCTTGTGTCAGTATATACAGGTTAGCAGCGGCGTAGTAGAGTGAGTAAGCACACCTTTAACCAGAGGATGTGGGTTGACCTTTGTGCATGAAATCATTATGCTAACAAGTGAATGTCAAGTGGAAGTTAGTTAGAAAGCAGATTTGTTTACAAACTAAACACTATATAACGCTAAGATAGGCCTTTAAATGCCAATAGATGGCTGTGACAGGAAGCTCCTGACAGCAACTGGCTGCTGCAGCCCAGAAAGAGCAGCTCTGTGTCGGAAAAGCAGAAGTGGGAGTCAGCAGAGGGGAATGTTTTCACTCTGTGCAGAACAATAGTTGGCTGTCGGAGCAGCATTGGAAAGCTCCCCCCCCTTCCCTGTCCTGCTGCTGCACAAACGCACAGTTGTGCAGGAACGTTCAAGCCAGTCCAGTTACAGTAATATACATGAAAATGCTTTCGTATCAAATGACCTCACTGTTAAAACAGCACCAGGCAAGACTTTTATATAAAAGATAACATTTGTCTTGGAACATCCCACTCCAGATGCTCTAGGTTAACTTTGTCGGTGTAAGTTATTAAATAGGAGACAGAAAGTGTCACTGTTGGGGCTTGTGTTAATAAAGTTTGTCTTTTACCAACGTGTATACAAGCAGTACATTACTCGGACTTGCACTCACCCACTGGGACATTGCTCACCCTCCACTCACCCATACACCTGCTATTCTTCAGCTCTTTTGTCTGTCGTTCCCTCTTCCAGGTTGCACGTTGAACAGACAGGATGTTCGTCTGACCCTGCACTATGAGAAGGGCTTCACTGTGACGAGGGAGCCAGTAGATCCAGCCGGGGGCGCCGTGCTCTACAGATACCCCTATGAGAAACTCAAAATGTCTGCCGACGATGGAATACGCAACCTTTATCTTGACTTTGGGGGCCCAGAAGGAGAAATGGTAAGTTAAGACAACGCAGGGGAAAGACTGGTAAAACTGTAATTTGTCAAAGGCTGTCACATCACTTTTCACCATTTTATACCCCTTCCAGGGAGCCATTGGATTAGTTTGGTATGTGACACAAAGTCATTCTCTTTAAGCCTGAGGCGATGTCCTCAAATTGGAACCAGGAAATGTTTTTTTTAGCTTGATGAGTAGCTTAAATTATTAATTGAATATATAATTTTATTTATCAATCAGCTCATAGTTTTGGAGGAGGTATGTCTCAGTTATTACATGATTTCCTAAGCTTGATTGCAGCTTATGTCATTTAAGTTTTACCCTTATTTATATCCTTGTGTTTTTTTCCCGTCACATCTTCCTTGCTGTTTGTTTCCTTTACCCTTTCCTACCTCACTCCCTCTCTCCGTCCATCCTCCAGGTATTTGACCTCCACTCAGGTCCAAAGCCGGTGGTGTTTGTCCTCCACTCTTTCCTGTCAGCCAAGCTCACTCGTATGGGCCTGCTGACGTGAAACAACCAACAACAGCAGCGTGGACGAGAGGGCGGGCCCAGGTACGCCGAGGAGTGGGAAGACCCTCCCAAAAGGCTGATACCTTAGGGTTGATTTTTATTTTTACATTATCATTTGATTTTTGTTTTTTCAGTTTCTCCATTCACAACCGAAGTTAGGCCTGGGGCGGCGCTGCAAGGAAGATTTAACCCATGAGTTGTATTGTTGATTGTCTCAGAAATGTGCCTTGTCTTCCAACTTCTCCTCGGCCTCTTGCAATCATTTCTATTGCAAAGTCAGGTAAAAAACGTGGCACTTTGCTTGAAGTCATGAAGTGTTAGGAGGCAGTTACAAAATGCAAAAAATAGCTATTAACAATCTCATAACATTCCATGTGATAATGTATTTAATTCCATTATGATGAAAGAACAAACTAAAAACGCAAGCTAAGATGCTGTGATGTGCTTGTGAGATTCCATTACCAGTGCACTTCAAGCAAAGGGTTACTGAAAGGAAGGATTTTTTTAGACAATTGGTAAATGTTCTCTCTTTTAACTCTATGCCTATCATTCCATGACAGCCTTCCAGTGTATCTTTTTAACGTATTTGTTTGTCTTTGTTTCGATGTGAGTGAGAGAAGCTGTTTTAGAGTCAGAATGCAGTTAATAGAGCAGAGATTGCGTGAATGAAGAAAGCTCTCTGTGTTGGTGTGTGTGTGTGTGTGTGTGTGTGTCTCTATACTGCACGCTTCTGTTGGCTTGATAGTGTGCCTGCTGTCTCACCTTTTAGCACGTTATCCCAAACTACTGTTGTAATCAGGATTGCCAACTGTGCCTTTTTACTTGTAGTCAAAGACACTCTTTGTAATGTTTCCTTTTTTATTTCACACAATAAGAGAATTTTAAGCTTTCCACATGCGCAAGCAATAGTATTACTCTTATAGTGTAAATCATGTTACTTTGTTTTTATGTTGTTTGTTTTTAACGTCAGTGTATATGATAGCATGACTTCCTGACATTGAACTCTGCATCAGATGATGATATATGACATGGCCGTGTGTCACCTCCCCTTCTTGACCTACACTACCACATTGTCTCCATCTCAAAATCATCGCATTCCACTTTGCTTGAGATTACTCATCTCTTGTTACCATTCCTACAGCATCACTTCTCTGGCTAAAGACTAGGTAACAATGTATTTTAATAATCTGAACTGTGGCGGTCAAAGGCATCTCACCTGCTGTGAACCCCTGCAGTAGAGAAGTTACTGAACACATCCGATTTTTAGCTTATTACAGTCTTTTTCTCACATTTTAGTGTCAGAAAGATTATGAAAGTTTGAGAAAATAATATTTACTCAAGGTCCACTTACTAGCTTTCTTTTGAAGCTTTCAGACGCATCTCATGCTCAGTTGTCATAGAGGTAACTCAGCTGTGATCACGTTAAGCATGGAACTTAACTCACATGATAATAGGTGTTTGTATTTTGGGAGAGTTGGTCACCCCTTCTCTGTTTGAAGTTGGTTTCTGCTGGTCTCCTTTCTCCGGCCGTCCACTGACTCCCGGTCGATGACCTATAACCCATTTCCAGTTGATGCTGTGAATGAGTTTTGTCAAGACCCGGGGAAAAAAGAAAATTTTATTTTACTCCGTTTTCCTGTGATAACGGGATAATTATCTTGTGATCTCGAGATAACGACTGTTGTTTTCTCGTGATAAAAAGAAAATTTTCTCGTGATAAAGAGATAACAAAACAGTAGTTTAACACGGGGGTTGGCAGGAATGTTTCTTAATGGTAATTTCAAGGTGGTTTTAGTGTCACTGATTAGCCTTTTCATATTCCTCTTCATCAAAGTTGTTATAAAGATGACTGATTCACAAGCTCACAATTAATCACGTGCTGGAGTGTGCGCATCGAAAATTGTTGTAAAGAAACGCACCTGCCGACCCCTAATATGAGCTACGGTTCGTTATCTCGAGATCACGAGAAAATTATCCCGTTATCACGAGCAAACAACATTCGTTATCTCAAGATCATGAAATAATTATCTCGTTATCACGGGAAAACGGAGTAAAGTAAAAATATGAATCGATGGCGGCTTAGGGCTTCCGCACTAATGAGCCGACTGGGGATTGAAAATGTTATCTGCTGAGTAAGACTCATTTATTGAGAGATTTTCTCCTACTTACGGTGAAGTGTAGGAGTAACCTTTAAGTTCAGCTCTCATGTGATCACATGTTTGATCACATATATGTACAGAGCAGACACAGCCAATCAGAGACAAGAATTCATCTTACATCTGGCGTACTGTTCCGTTTTTTTACAAACATTCCTAACTCTGTGATACAGTATGTTGTTCTGTTAGAACTTAATTTTAATCTTAAAAGCCCATTTTATTTGTGTCAACACATTCATATCTCCAGTTGCAAATAACATGTGAAATATACAACAACACAATATATTTAGAATATATTAAAAGGGATGAGATAAGAGGGAATTGGCTGTAATCGAACAAAAGAAAAATAAACTTCAGTAAAGAAATGTTGTTGCATGGTACATGAGGTACATCAGAAAAAAACAAAAATAAATATTCAATCAAATGCTAATAGCAGGATAAAGAACTATTCTGAATGCGACATGTTAACATATTATTCATCATGAAACATGTCTAAAGGTGTTGCTCTGTTTCTGTGCTGCAACCGTCGAATCCACTCTTAACCAACTTTAGAGACATCTGCAGTCTGTTTCCGGTATCCATTCAGTCCTCACTGTTCTAACAATGTAGTGTGAGTGAGGTCACATGATGACAACTGAGATGCAGTTGCAAGCTCTGTGCAAAAGCTAGTGAAAAGTCCGAGAGTTAAGGTTATTCGTCAAACAAGCTCAAGAATGAACTTTCAAGTGCTTAAGAAACCTTTTTGGAACTAAAATCCCATTGCAGACCTTATGGTTGCTGTCAATCAGTAACATCCAAACAACCAATTGTTTATTTATTTATTTCACACAGGCCAGTACCCCTAAATTTGGTAAATTTTTGGCACTAAAATCGAGGCGAGTTGAAGTTCGCTAAACCAATTACAGTCTTCCCTTCGGTTCGTCTGCTCAGTCCAGTGCCTGTATTGAGACTTGACTCTTTAATGAGTTCAACGTGACTGTAATTGACACATTTTCATAACCTTTATTTGGTCCATGGTACATGTTGCTAAAGTGACCCTTCAGTAGAGTCTCTGTGTTCTTTTGGGTCTCAAACAATGCAGCATTGTGTCCACTGACCATGCAACATAGGAACACAAGGTAACCCTTCTGTCCTCAGACAGGGAGCGCAGTCAGAATGGCCTCTTTTCTGTTTTAAATTCTGTCGTCTTTGTGATGATTTGGCTTTTTTATAAACCTGAAAATGTGTAACCATATATTCCTCTGGCTGTATAGCTCTTTTTCATGTATAGTTAATGAGTGGCTGTGTTAAAGGAGAAGCAGACTTTGCTTCCCTTAAAACATTGTGTATGTGGGAGGTTTGAGTTATATTTGGCCTGACATAAAGGCTGGCTTCTGCAACATTTAAAGCAATAGTAAAGTGTTGCACGCCATCATCCTACTGTTTCACCACACTTTTCATTTTGTGTTCTCTAACCCACTGAACAGATCTGATTGTCTGAAGTTAGTAAACCTTCAACAAGCTGCAGGCCGTCCCTCTTTGAGCTTGATGCACTAACCTATCAAACCCCTGTAAACCTGTGAATGTACACCTCCTCTCTTCTTCCAGATTATTGTTTTTCAAATCCTTTCTCTTTATGTTCTGAAATTGTGGCTATCCTGTCTATGCAAAGCAATGCTTCAAAGAAGGGGTTTTTGAACCAAAGGTAATATCTGTGGCAGCTTGCGTCCAACACAATCACTGAACTGTCACAAGAGTATAAAGTGCTGCTGCAACAACCTGTCATATGCAAAGTATTTTAGACTTCCAAGATATGGTAAACAATGTATAATAGCAATGTAGTAATCTCAAATGTAAATACCTACCAATAAAACTGTTACAAATTACATAAATTGATGTGTGGTTTTTGTGAAGATTGTGGCTGTACGAGATCTTCTTTATTATTTTATGCATTGACTGTTGTTTTTTCCCGTTGGGGTGCGCTGTTAAAATGTGTATAGACTTTTTATGGGCCTATGTGTGTTTTTCCAAATATGTGTGTAGTTCTGCCACCAATATGACCGCTAGGTGGCGCGTCAGCAGTCCCTGGAAGCGCTGCCATTGTTGTTACCATTCATCCAGCTGTAAGTTTGAGGCATACGACGGGAAAATATTTTATAAAATATATAATTTAGCAAAGATCTTATCCATACCATATTCTTGATTAGATTGCCGAATCGTGTGTATTCTGTCAGTTTTACTGCACAATGCTTGTCATTCGCTGTTATATTTTGAAAGTTTGAACCGGAAGTTATCTTCGTGTCATCAAGCTTGTCGGGAAACGCAGTGTTGTTGCTGTGGTTTTTGTTGGGGCTAGGCAGAGCTGTCATATTTGCTAGCGAACGTATTAACCACTCTCTTGTCATGTCAAGAGCAATCTGTCCCCTCACAACACAGGGCTGGTAACGAGTTCATTTCTTCACATATCCACCTTTGGATACGGTCAGAGGACAGAAATCTGGGCGGAGAGCAGAAGAGTGAGATGAAATGACAACGTCAACATTACAGGTAGGCTAACTTACTATTAGCTGGCTAACGCTAGCTTGCTGCAAGTGGACATAACTTGGCCGATTAGACAGCAGCTGAAATGCAAGCTAACTGGCTAGCAGAACAGCTGACGCTAAAGCCGCTAACATTGTTAGCAAGCCAGTTTAGTAAGCCGAGCCTGCGAACAGTGCTTCCGTAACTTAATTGTCTTGAAAATAACATGATTTGCTGTACTAAGTTAGCTAACTGCATAATATAAGAACAATAATATTAACCAATTGTAGTGTGGGTTATGAATGTGTGAATTGCTAACTGACGTTAAACCGCTGCTGGAGAATGTCTCTCGGTTGCTGGGCTGTGGCCGTGCAGACAGTTAACAATATGAGAAAACAAAGGTTTACGTTATGGAACACGTTAGTTTAGTCATTGCCATACAAATAGCACAGTGCATGTTGTAAAGTCAGAGAATGTGATGGGGTCATATTGTATAGCATGTTGGGGTTATAACTTGTGCTTTGTTATGGTTGAAGCTCCAGTGTTGACATGAGCCGACTGATATGATGATGACTAACATTCCCTGCCTCTATTTCTGTGCCTTCACCCCCAATCCGTCTTCTGCCTCTGTGTTCTGATTACATTCCTCTGCATCTGTTGCAGAAAGCGATTGATCTTGTGACTAAAGCCACAGAGGAAGACAAGGCAAAGAATTATGAGGAGGCCTTGCGCCTGTATCAGCATGCTGTGGAGTATTTCCTACATGCCATCAAATGTGAGTACTGCACTCTGACAGGTAGTTGAACTACCCTTCTGTTGGTACAGACATTGGTGGCTTTCATTCACATTTCTGTCTGGAATTTCATCTATCCTTCAGATGAGGCCCACAGTGACAAGGCAAAGGAGAGTATACGAGCAAAGTGTATGCAGTACCTGGACCGAGCGGAGAAACTTAAGGACTATCTGAAAAATAAAGACAAACAGGGCAAGAAGCCTGTCAAGGAGGCACAGAGCAATGACAAGTATGCTGTCCGTCTTCTTCCCTCTCAGAAAGCAACAAGTCTGTGGGCTTTACTGTACTAGTGTCAACCTCTCTGTGTGTTTGTGTCTGGTCTAGGAGTGATAGCGACAGCGAGGGGGAAAATCCAGAGAAGAAGAAACTGCAGGAGCAACTTATGGGTCTGTAAATGTGCAGGGGTGCAATAAGTCCTCCCAGGGGAATTAAGCCAGTTGATATGATGTTTATGTGATATTAGATCAGCATGGTCTGAGCATAATTGAATAACACTGCTTCCAAAGAGGAATATCTTCACCTGGGGTGATTCTAATGAGACATTTTGATCAATGTAACTTTTTCTTAGTAGTGGTCCTCTTTGGGTTCAGTTTTGAGGTCTTATTTGTGCCAGGACTGCAGATGTTCAATCACCTTTTAAAGTATTTCATCCGTCTTCATTTTAAGGGTGGCGTTGTCACTCTTATTCATGCTCTGCCTGTGTGTCCAGGTGCCATTATAATGGAGAAGCCTAATGTCAGGTGGAACGACGTGGCTGGACTGGAGGGCGCTAAGGAAGCTCTTAAAGAAGCTGTCATCCTGCCCATCAAATTCCCTCACCTCTTTACAGGTACTGTGGGATCTTCCATCGATAACTCTGTTTACAGCCACTAATTATATTACACATTTTTAGACGTGCTTGAAGCGAACATGAAGTTAGTACATTGTCAATAATATAATAATGTGATAAGTAAATGTAAAGATGAAACAATTAATTGATCTATTAGCAGCACAATTTAGTTATCATAATTTATTAAGCAAAAACACCAAACATTCTCCAGCCCTAGTTCAGTATCACTGCTTAGATGAAAAGTCACTTTAGATGTTTTGAAATTACTATCATTTTGGCATTACCTCTGTAATGGATGTTGCGCTGCTCCTCTTTTAGGAAAAGATTTCCATCCTCGTTGTTTGGCTGTTAGCTGGTACAGCAGTGAATGTTATCATGTTGACTCCCATGCCTGTTTTAGTTAGTATGACATCATATGATCAGCATCACCTCTGGTCTCTTGTGTTCTCAGGCAAGCGAACTCCGTGGAGAGGCATCCTGCTGTTCGGCCCTCCGGGGACAGGGAAGTCGTACCTGGCTAAGGCCGTGGCCACTGAGGCCAATAACTCCACCTTCTTCTCTGTCTCCTCCTCAGACCTCATGTCCAAATGGCTCGGAGAGAGTGAGAAGTACGTCTCTTCCTCGCCCCAGGCTCATGTTCAGAAATAGCTCCAACAGTACAGAGACATTTTCACAGTTCCAAGACAATAATCCATTATTTAGGTAGAGTAAATGCAATAGCTACATAGCCTACCCAAAATATTTTACAAATACCAACCTGTCCAAGAGCAGAAACGTCACATCAGTGTCTGCCCTCAGTCCCTTCTCTCAGCACTTGCCAACAAGGAAAAACTACAGTAGTAGCTATCATCTATCTTAATCAGTAATGTGTCCTCGCGCTTAGACTTTAATATCCTCTGAGTGGCAATTGTGCTACAGCACAAAACATATAGGCACATAAAAAAACAATTAGATAACAAAAGCAGGTCAATAACTGTGTTCCAACAATTGTCATGAAAAATAATATACTGCACATCCCCATGTCCCCGCTCTTTGTGTCGCTCTCTGTCTCATTTTCCCCGTCTCCCCCTGTGTCTCCCAGGTTGGTGAAGAACTTATTTGACCTGGCTCGCCAGCACAAACCGTCAATCATCTTCATCGATGAGGTGGACTCGCTGTGCGGCTCCAGGAACGAGAACGAGAGCGAGGCCGCCCGTCGCATCAAGACAGAGTTCCTGGTCCAGATGCAGGGTGAGCCGAATGACAACAATCAGTCGTCTTAAATGTGCAAATCCAAAACCCTGCCTGGACACTGAGGGAAGCAGGAAGTGCTCAGATACATACACGTAGACTGAAGCTCTCTGGTTTTGTAGGTGTGGGAAACAACAATGATGGTATCTTGGTGCTGGGAGCCACCAACATCCCCTGGGTGTTAGACGCTGCCATCCGTAGAAGGTCAGAGCTCACTTCAGTACGCCACCGTTAAATGTGTTCGTCTTGCCATGAGTTTGTTTTACTTTATGTTTGGGGGGGGGGTTGTTCAAATAACTGATTGGATCTTGTCGTGTGTCAGATTTGAGAAGCGTATCTACATCCCTCTCCCGGAGGAGCAAGCTCGGGCTCAGATGTTTCGTCTCCATCTGGGCAACACGCCGCACAGCCTGAGCGAGGCCGACCTGCGGCAGCTCGCCCGCAAAACAGACGGCTACTCTGGCGCCGACATCAGCATCATTGTCCGTGATGCTCTCATGCAGCCTGTTAGGAAGGTCCAGTCCGCCACGCACTTCAAAAAGGTGACACCATTAGACACACAAGAGGGAAAAAAAAGAAGCCCAGGTCAGGCCAGTTCATCATTCTCCCTTTATTACTCTTGTTCTTACTCCTTCAGGTTCGCGGGCCATCCCGAAGCAACAACCAGGTGATGGTGGATGATCTCTTGACCCCTTGTTCCCCTGGCGACCCTGCAGCCATAGAGATGACCTGGATGGATGTGCCTAGTGATAAGCTACTGGAGCCCATAGTCTGCATGGTGAGACTACTACTCAGAAATGACCATCTGTTCCTAAAACAGTGCTGTAAGCTCTTCATTTCAGACCTCCATTCTTCCACATAGTAACAACTAGGCAAGAAAATAGCCTTTTTAATGGGACTGTTCATCCTTTAGCTTAATACCTAATTGTATAATCTGTTGTTTTATCTTTTAATTATTTGATTCTATTTCATTTTCTTTGTCTGTGAAACACTTTGTGTTTGCTTGCCATATTATAACGTGATCCACAGTAACAGAATTCAAACTGTGGAAATCAGGCAGGTGGTTAGCTCAGAAACTGAATATAAAAACCCAACATTACACCCAATGTTAAAACAAAAATGACTCGTATCTCTCCCTCCTCTGCAGTCGGACATGCTGCGGTCTCTGTCCACCACCCGTCCCACAGTCAACACTGAAGATCTGCTCAAGGTCAAAAAGTTCACAGATGACTTTGGGATGGAGGGCTGAGAGACGGAGCCCCACCCCACCCTACCTCTCCCCAGGCCACCAGAAGGGTCAAATTGCTCCCAACAGCAGCCCTCCCCTCCGCCTCCCCCCTGCTGTACCATCCCGTAGGCTTTCATCTATCAACTGAGCTCTTGGTTCACTGCCTCTCGTGGATTTCAAAATAAATGTCTGGTCTGTTCGAACAAAGAAAGAAAGCTTGTATTTCTTACTTCGAACAATCCAGTACTTTTGAATCCTTGCAGGAAGTTGACCAACGGCTACAATAGAGAAAGTGTTGGTGTTATTTGGTAGTTGGACAATAGAGCCCATGACTTTTCCCCAATTTCAGACAACTTTTGGTTACACAGCAGCCGCTACAGTGTATTCACTACAAGAACATTTCATGTAACCTGCATTGATGTGAGGAAAGCTGCATTTGAATCTAAGTGCACCAAGTTTGTCCCTCTCTGAGCCGACTCTGTCTGACTGAAGGACTGTACATTTTGTTGCCATTGTGCACTTTGCTTTGGATCGCAATGAAGGACAGTGATGTTTGACGAAGGAACAATAGAGGAAGAAAGTTCTCCTGCCAGGCATGCAAGTGTGTGAATGCATCCAAGTGTTTTTATTAAACTTGTGTGTCTTTTAATGTACATGTCTACATGTTAAGAGCCCTGTTATTTTGTTATTTAATGAAGAGTTAAATTAAGTGATCATCACTGCCTCAGTGTCCCTCTGCAGTGTCTGCCTGTACCTCTGCTAACAGCAGTCTGAGCGAGGCATTCATCTTCAATATTTATGATACAAGAGATGTGCTTGATTGCAGCCAAACACTGAATTTCTTTAATCCAGAGTTTTACCCTGTAGTTTCTCCCGAGAAAACCCAACGTTCATTCAGCATCATCTACATTTAGTAGCCATTCTGAATCTATTTCTATTGTTTATTTATGTTTTGAGTAGGATTTTTCTTCTCCCTGCTCCTGGTGAGTGTGAGCCGTACTGTGATGGCTTACTTCTTGGAATTTCTTTTATTGAGTTTGTGGGTCTGTAGCAGTCTGATCAGTGTTGTGTCAATGCTAAATACCTAAATACTCATTTTTACTTCCTGTTAAAGAACACACGTCAATCAAGCATGTCTCTTTAAATCTGGATGTTTAGTTTTTGTTATGTTTCTCCCTTGCACACATTGTTTAAGTGTTAAAGAACACTATTTATTTATACATGATCACAACTGACATGTAACTTGACTGACTATGATAGCGGTACAGTTTGTTTACACTTGAACTATTTCATTATTTGTTGTTTCATATGGAGCTCCAGTGAAAGTACTTTTCTTTTGGGAAGCAAACGTACACACAAAGTTCTACTCTGTTTCGTTACCATCTGTTCGGGGCTGGCTTTCCCCTCTCAAGCTTAGATTTGTCCTGTTGTCAGCTAACAGACAATGAGGTGAGCCAGCCCTGCTCGCTATCGAGAAGCAGGGTCACACAGCTAGCCAGCCTTAAGTCTTTTTAAATCCAACTTCTTTGATGTTTGTTCAGTCCCAACTACACATCAGGCCCGTCTGGCTAAATCACACCCCATTTACATCTGGTATTAAAATGTGATCTGTAACGTATCTGGATGGAGATCACACGTTAATACCAGCTGTAAATGGTGTCTCCTGTGGTGATGGGACTTCCTGTGATAGCTCAGTGATGTGTGTTGCTGAGGTACATACTGGTTCAGTAAGGGGGCCTAAGCTGCCGCTGGCCATGTAACCGTGACTACTAATTTAACCTCCATTAATAAAGACTGACATTTCAAATGAAAAAAAAAGGCACAGTTGCTGGTTTGACATTTTTATTATGTTTAATAGCTGACGTTAAAACATTTAGAGGCTCTACAGCAATATTTTCAGTATCTGTCCCAGTGAGCTACATACCGTGCTCAGGCAGTTACTCTACCAGTTGACACCACTTCTCAGTGATTTATACTAATGAGGCCACTGTTCATTTACGGTACATTTGGGGCATTCAAGCTGAGGCACCTAAAGGAATAGTTTTGGGATGTATGCTTATTCATTTTTTTGCCCAGAGGTACTGATACTGACTTGTTTGTCCAGTAAATATAAATCTACAGCCAGCAGCCTGTTAGCTTAGCATAAGACTGGCTCACCTAACTCTCTCCAAGAAAGCGAATGAGCGGATTTCCCAAAGTGTCAAACTATTCCTTTAACAACTAATAATAAGCGAGCAGATACAGGGGTTCAGTATTTCACCTCAAGGACACTTTGACAAGACACACAGCTGGTTATCCACACGTACTGATGGTTGTGAGGTGATTCTAATACATCAATTTTCACCAATACGGTTTTAAAAAACAGAGGTCTGAACCTGCGTAACTTCGGGCAGAGCTCAAGCAAGTTGGTTCAGTTCCTACTTGTCATGCCTTCTAACAGTTTTGAAACGGATCAGTTATAATAGCACATCTAAAATGTTTCAACACGAAAGGACACAATGCCTCGGCATATTTATCAAGGCAACTTTGTCCTCATTACCTTCACCCTATTTAGTCTGCAGACCATGGCAGCAATAGGAAAATTAAGTAATACTTTAGAAACCTAACAGGAGAGCTTTTTCCTAAGCCTATAAGCAGTACACAGTGCTGCAAACAGCTGGATCTACAGTGCAGAATGTGTGGTTACAGCCTTTTTAAATTAGGACATCATCTCTGCAATTTGTTGATGTGTGCCAGAGTCTGTTGGCTTGAGCCGTGTTGAAACTGATCCTAATTGAACGGGCTTGCATTTGCTCACAATTCCAGAGTAAAACCTCTTTATGAGCAGATCCACGTTCCACGAACGCAGTATGACAAGAAACCAACGCCTCATCCTTGGAGCGCAAATTCCCCAGAATGTAACCGCCACGGGGTCGTCTCTGTGTCAAATGCCTCGCCATCGTTACCGCCGTCGTCACACTTTGCTCCGTTTCGATTGGCTCTCTGACGGAGGAGCGGCCCGCTTGTTGCGATGGTGGGGGAAGGTTGGCATCAGCTCCGGTTCACAGGCTGCACAGAGAAGCAGAAAGAAAAGATTAATGACTTCCAGTACATCAGAGGGCAAGCATTACAGCTGATACGTGTCCAAAGTCTGTGCACTCACGTAGAGGTTTCTCTTTGAAGTAGGAACTCTCCAAACAATCTTTGGCAGTAGCTCTGGACCAGGGAAACAGGATTAGAGTCAGTGATTGACAGCTCTTAAGAATTTAACATATCTGACACAGGATTGTCGCTGCTCTGTAGGCCAATCAGCTTCGAGTTATGAATGCCTGATGAATATGACAATACTGTTAAAGCCAACAGATATGGAACCGTCTCTTGTTAGTACATAAATAAGTTGTAGGTTTCAAGTCAACACGACATCCGACACAGGATCAGACATGTTGGTGTTTAAGAAGTCTTCCTCCTGTCTGTAGATTTATCAGAGTAATAACAAGGGCTGTTCAATATAGATAACACAGAGCTTTACAACAAGGAATAAATCAGAAAGTCAGTGTACAATTATTAGAGTACAAAATACAACAAAGGAAATATTGAAAAGGCATCACAGAGTAAAACCTTTGTTGTATAAATGAGTCTTAAAGTGAGATAAAACCAGACTCTGCGACCTCGATCTCCTCTGGTAAGCTGTTCCAGAGTGTAGGGGTCCTGACAGCAAAGGCCCTACCAGAGGATCTCAGTCTCAGGGGGGAAAAAAGCTCAGAGATGTATGAACGTACCAGACCTGGCTTTAAAAGGAATTAGCAGAATTTGAACAAAATCATATCTTAAAAGAAACAGGCAGTGCAGGATGCTAACACTGGAGCGATGCGGTCACACTGTTTTGCGGCGAGTTAAAAGTCAAGCTGCAGCATTTTGGACTAACCGTAGGCAGGGAACTGATTTCTGTCTGAGACAGGTTTATAAAGGGTTACAATAGTCGAGGTGGGAGGAGATGGAACGAGTTTCTCCAGATCTGTGGCAGAAATAAAAGTCTTAACCTTGGCTATATTTCTCAAATCATAGCTGAACAATGTACAGATGATGTGATCATGTAAACCTGAGAATATGGTCAGTTAACTTCATTTAACTATTTTCAGTCACGCGGATGCGGACACAAGCTTGATTCCAACCTTGCAGTAACCATGGCAACAATCCTTTATAGTTTTTGGAAATATGGCTCATTTTATAGTAACAAGGTGTGACAGTCAAAGGAAAGGCCTTCACCACAGCTCTACGGTGGCACTGTGAAATGCTTTATCCAGAATTAAACAGTACTTTGAATGAATGAACCATCACTTCCTGATATGAAGACTAAAACTACAGAAAGAACAAGAAGGTTTTTATTGATACTGTACATATGGTGAACAGCCTTACTTTAATTGATTCGGGGCAGTGGTGGATATTAACTAAGTTCATTTACTCAAGTAAGGAATGTAAGGCTAATTTTGAAATAATTGTACTTGTATTTCTTTTGTATGCTACTTTATACTTCATTACATAGAAAAATAACAGACTTTTTACTACGCTACATTTATTTTACAGCCATAGTTACTCGTTACTCTGGAATATTTCAACCTGTTTTTATTGAGAACCAACGTGTTCTTTCTTCGTTTTTTCATCATGGTGTGCATAATCTTCTTATTCTCTCATGTTTGAAGATACAAATGCTCTTTACTGTCACATTTTATTAAACAAGATGATTTAAAGTAACATAGTTAACTACAACAAAAATGATATCACATATTAAGGTATTGGTGTTAATAATCCAGAAGGCATCAGGCCTTTTACTTGTTACTTTAAATACATTTTGTTAATACATGAAAAGGCTTTTTGACTTGTCACGGTAGGAAAGGCACAGGTGTTCTAATAACAGTAATAAGGGCTCTCTGCTGTTCAAGTGTCCCAGTAAGTCGTGACAGTGTGGCAGTGAGCCAGCATGCACAACACAAGGACCTTGAGGCTGAAGGAGCAACGTGAAATTCAGCTCACCATTCATTATTTACACCTGCACTTTTATGTTAAATGTGTTCCATGAAAAGGGCCTATCACATGCACACACTTATGTTTTCATAAGCAAATAGGCAGACACACACACATATGGATGCACACGTATGATAGGGCCTGAATCACCCCCCCCCATAGCGTGAGAGTGAGAGAGTGTACCTGCGCTGTGGGTTGTACATGAAGAGCAGGTTGAGCAGTCTGTGTCCAGCATCAGACAGCCAGGTGAATTTATTCTTCAGGTTGTTGTACGGCTGCTTCCTCAGACTGTACTGACCGATGAGGGGCAGCTGAGAGAAACCCTGGGACATTCACACACCTTCAATTCGGCACGCTTCTTTAACACCGTCACACATCGAGGACACAGAGTTAGGTTTATGCTGAAGACATATAAAGAGCTGAGGTCTCACCGGCCAGATGTTCTCATTGGGTGTTCCCAGAAGCTGAACTATCAGGTCGACCTGCTGGATCTCAGAGGTTCCGGGCAGCAGAGGTTTGTGAGCCAGCAGCTCAGCCAAGATACAGCCTACAGCCCTGCAAAGGAAACATTCTAGCAAGTTCAGTGTTATCAACGATTCCTGTCCTACTCCTTATGCAGTGTGAGAGAAAGTCTGATAAGAAAAATAGTGGATTAAGAGTGGTTAATTGAAGATTATCAAATTCTAGTTTTCCCCTTAAAATGATTTTCCTTCCTAG